CTTCAGGTCAAGATGAAGCACCCCTGACCGGATCATTGCTTTGCGCTAGACTACTGAGGTATCACAGAGTTCGCTTATCCGGTTTCTTGTGCTTCGTGGACATGGAGAAATGTTATGGAGTCAAGAAGTTATCATCGGATCCCACGCAACAAGATCTGGTCCTGTCTGCAAACGTATGTAGTCGACATCCGCTTGTTATCAGCCATCCAGTCACTATATGTTGATAGCTGGTGCTGTGTCAGAGTAATACATTAAATCAAGACCTTCGGCGTTGGCACTTTTCTCCGCCAATGCTCCGTTCTGTCCCATTTCCCGTTTGTGCTGAACATATATAGAATAGTCGGGTTCAGTCAGATCGACAAGTGCATGAGTGTAGAAGATGTAGAAAAGAGAAGGTCGCTGATTGCAGACGATTCTGCTCGTTGGCATCTTTCCAAACTGATCTCCAGTACTGTTTACAGTTTCGCAAATGAGTGGATGCGGTCGGCAACAAATGAACGTGTCTGAAACCAAAAGCCTAGTGGTTTATCGTTCTCCTGCCCGTTGTGCCCTGCAGATTAGTGAAGAGGGTCGGAAAGAGGTAAGGAAGTGCATGTACCTCAGGATTATCTTTGTTGATGATGGGAAATTTGAGGAACAGATCCACTGGCGAATTGGAATGGCCAACGGTGTTATGTGTATGTACGAGTCCGAACCGTTGTGACTAAAGCAGAGATGATTTTGAAGACTTAGTTCAAGTCGACGTCCATGACTGGAAAACTTCGATCCTTAATTGCAGCAGCTTAAATGGGCTTTCTGGGCCGCATTCCGACGTTCTCCAGAGTGTCGAAAGCCGAAAGAGGCTCAGCTTGCCGCCTTTGCTTCTTCAGATTGAGCTGTCACCGCTGCGACGGTTTGAGCTCATCCTGCGAATGACTTCAGAAAGGAGTGCAAAACAGCTTCTACCTGCTGAACCGACAGGCCAAAGTCCCGGAAGACGCCAAAAATCACCTGAGGCATGTGTCTCGACAGACTTGATCCATACAGAGGTTGCCTTCTACAGATATTCAAACACTAATACAACTGACCTACGTTAAAAACACTGAGTGAACAGGCGTCTGCCTCTGCGACTATATTGGGTATTATATCGATAATATGTCAGCAATAATTTAAAACCTAATTCTATTACATATACGGATTTACATATCCTATTTCGAAATCGTCTACATGTTTAAAGAACCTTTCAAGCAGGCCACGGATGCATTGAGTTTTAGCACCTGCAGTGCGTTCATGCAAACGATACCACATTCTTGGATACTACATAAACAATCTTTTCACCCAACAAAGTGGTGCCGTTTAGCGCCAAGGCACTACAGTCACAAAAGTACTATTGAATAGTCGCCTGTTTAAACGGTACCATAGGCTACTGGAAACCAGTGAACGATGGGGCGACCTGCTGAATCGGCCGAATTCACAGGAGATTGTTTTTCTTACCTTTCGTATGAAACTTCTTGGTAGCAGCTTCGTGGTAAACCCATAATACCGAGGTTATTTTTATTATAAGTATGAATACTTGTTGCGACGTCCAGAAGCGAGACATAATTC